TTGTGCATCGGCTTCTATTCATGGCTCTGATTGTTATTTTCAAATTGTCACTTGAGCTATATGGCGCTTCTAGGATTTATTTTCCAGCCTGTGGCATGATAAGCAGTTTCTGCCATCCCAGTGGAAACCCACAGAGAGGAAGTGATCGCCCAGGGCCCACTTTCCCAACCACTAACCACAGCAAGTGTAGAGCACTCAGCCATAGCAAAGTAAAACCCAACCAAATTAACTGGTAGAGTTATCTAATGTAGTCACTCTAAATCAAATAACGTAGTAACATTTGTTTCAAACTACAGAAGAAATATTAGATGTGAAAATAAAGCCATTCGTTGGATATTTCGAAGGAATGGAAATCAAAGTTTTACAAACTTAGAATCAACATCCTGTTCCCGTCTGCCCAATAAGGAGGAAAGCATTTATTTATGCCAGTGACGAGTGGACTCCCGGCATCTGATTTTATTTATTACAGTATCACACTGCAGAAAGCCATTTGTTATCTCTTCTTTATGCTTACAATAAAGGGTGACGATATTTATCAAAAAACTCATTATCAAGTGAGACAAAAAGCTCAAATTGGATTTCCAAAATAAAAATACCAATCAAGCAAAATCTCATTTAAAGCCAAAGGATTTTTCCATTCTGACAGGATTCCTGAATGCTGATGAGTTCTCACTGAGTGCTGGACAAGGTTGCACTGCTAAGTGGCTTACCCAAAACACTGTCATTTTTCATGAGTCCTAGCATAGACAACACAAGTCTTTGCATTAAAATTACTTTGTAACTTCAGCTCCAGGGCAATCTAAAACCTAACTTTGATAAATATTGTTGCCTGTAAATACATTTCCAGAAGGGTGTATTTATCAACATTTCAAGCCCACCGGATTATTAAAAGTATCAAAACCAGTTTCCAAATTTAGGTATTTGCTTCAAACCATTATGAATATAATTTTAAAAACAGCTCATGTGTTCTGATAGCTTATTATGTGTCAGGCTCTCCCAGGACACCCATGGTTTCATTTCTCCCTTACAATCATGCCATGAGGGGGTCCTATCACAAGAAAACTGGACCAAAACAGGGAATTAACTCCAAAGCCTATGTCAAACAGTGACCTATTATTTCTTCAATAAGAAGCATGTGCAATCTGGCCAGCTCACAAGAATTGTTTAAAAAGTAAATGAAATAATTTATGTTAAAGCACCTCAAAAAAAATTGTAAGTATAGGTGATGGGCTCAAATCCTGGCTGCCCCTGTCAGCTGTGAAAATGAAGCAAATCACATAACTCTCTGAGTTCTTAAAAAAATCTTTAAATTTTCTAATGGAGGTCTACATTAGGACAGATTTTAATAGTCACATACATTTTAAACCCAAGAATATATTTGGAATTAATTGAAAATAATTAGTAATGTCTCCTTATATTATGCCTACCCATAACTATTGTCTGAATGCAGGGTTATTACTAACTTTTCTACAAGTCTAATTTGTAAGTAGCCAATGTTCATAATGAGAGGTTAATCACTGAATGGTACAATTCATCCTTGGGAAAGTTTATTTACTTTTACAACACCTCACGGTTGTTGTTACTGCTAAATATGAATATCTTGATTAATAGCAGCAACATAATTAGTGTCCAATATCTATTCATCACCATAGCTCAATTTCTTTATAAAGTACCTCCTTATATAATAAATAAGACATTCATGTTCTACCTGACAGCTTGATTAATGACCCTGCAACCAAACCCTTTTTCACAATAAGTGAAGGGTGAATACTCTCAGTGTCAGCTGTTTCCACTCAGGCTAGAACCATCCACCAGTCACAGAGAAGAGAGAAGCCTCCTGTTATATATGGTAGGGGGCAGGAACCCTAGGAAGCCTTTGTTATTCATCATGACAAGGCCAACCAGATGGTCGACTAGCTCAAAGACATCTACTGAAAGTTAACATTTATCAGGTAGCCTCCTTCTGCAAATGTTTACTGAGCACCCACTGGATGTAGAGAGCAAGACATAGCCCTTACCCTCAAAAGCTGCCCAGGGTGGAAGGTTGAGCAGGCAAGTACAGGCTTAGTGCACGCAATATGCCCAACTCTAGGGTCACTGACCAAGTACATCCCAGGACATCAGCAGGACAACAGCCAGGCCTGTGAGGGCAGAAGAGAGGTATGGTTCTTAGAAGATTCAGAAGAAGAGGCAACATATGACCTGGGCCTCCAAGGAAGACAAGACAGAAACTACACATATAGCTACTAACAATGATTGGGGTTGGGGGCAGTGGCTGGCAGTTGGGAGAAGTGACTAATCCCAGCTCTGTGGCCTGGGTCTCCTTGGACTAAGGGAAGTCCAGGTGGGACTTTAGCTTCAGCAGTAGGTTCATGTATCTCAGTGATGTTGGGTATGGGATTTGGGGTTCATAGAGCTGGGGTGACATCAGTCATAAGCCTCAGATTCCTATCTGTGAAATGCAGATGGTAGCACTCATTTATTCAGTCAACAGATCTTTGTTGTGTGCCCACTGTAGGTCTCCCTCCTCAGGTTGTTGTAAGGACAAAGCAAGGTCATGCACTTGGTGTCACACATGGCACACAGCAAGTGCACAGCAGATGGGCCTGAGCATGGTTCCCACCTGGTCGACTGAGAGCCTCACGTACTCCACTCACCTCCTGGCACTGTTGGGCAAGGGTTTCAGAAATGTAGAGTCACTACATCAAGCTAAGGTCATTCATCATATTACACTCACATTTCTCAAATATTTTCCTTTTCTTTCCAAATAAGATTTAACAAAAAAGGCAAAAGACAAAAGAAAACCAAAAAAAGAACATTAGCTAAGACATAAAATGCAAAACTAAAAAAAAGAAGAAAAAAAGAAAGCTTCTCAGAAGCGAAGGCTAAGAAATTCCAAGGCATAGACACTGATAGCCCTGGCCACAAAGGGGTTCAACCCACAGACCCTGCTGAAGAATTTTCGGAGATGTCTTAGTCAGTTTCTGCTGCCATTACAAAATACCATAGACTAGGTGGCTTAAAAACAGACATATACTTCTCAGTTCTGGAGGCTCAAAGTCCAAGATCAAGTCGCTGGTCAGTTCTGTTTCTGGTGAGGGCTCACTTTCGGGTTTGTAGACAGCCACCGTCTCATTGTGTCCTCACAGATCTCTCTTCTTATAAGGGCACTAATCCCACCAGGAAGTCTCCACCTTCCTGACCTAATTAGCTCCCAAAGGCTTCATCTCCAACTACCATCACATTGAGGATTAGGCTTTAACATATGAATACAAATTTGGTTGCAACATATAAATATGAATTAAGCTTCAACATATGAATTTTGAAGGAACATAAACATTCAGTCCCTTGCAGGGAATCCCAGCAAAATTCCCCCAATTATGCGTTTCCTCCACCACTGGGCAGGAGGCATGAGGATATAGACAGCTGCCTTAGAACATCTCAGCCAAACACCAAGAGACCCAAGAATCTAGCTGGGTCACGGGAGAAAGGTTTCCCAAGAGTAGCAACAGAGTTCCTGCAGAAGCAGCTTCTTCTGGGAGAGCCAGAAGAGAGCAAGACTGCCCAAAGGCCCAGCCTTCCAGATCTTTCTGCATGTCAGTAACTCACAGGCAACTTCTGAGATATTGACAGACGATGCAAGTGGTCACATTACTACTTTGAGTCAAACAGTTTAATCTTCAGCAAAGTCATGGCTGTTTCTCTTTCCCATTTTTCCTCTTTCAAAATCAAAAAGGTACCGGGCCTCTGATAAGGGTCACAGGACCTTCTCAGGATGAGCTATGTACAGTCTCTCAAGGTAGGGCTTCAAGCCACTACTAACCCCTCTCCTCCCAAAAAGGTTGACGGTGTGGGCAGAGGCAGTGCTGGGTACTGTCAGCCACCAACTCAAATCAATATAGATGCTAAATTTAAAGAAACGTGTTTGCTATGCAAATGAAGCTTCAAGGCTGTCACCTACAGTGCCTTCCAAACAGAGGCTTTCCACAGATCCGAAAACCAACTCCTCACTAGGCGGCCTCATCTGTTTGTGTCCCAGACTCTGCCCCTCTGTAGCCCAGAACCAAAAGCCCTGGATCCAAAGGAGGAAAATCCCATTCATCCATCCCATTCCATCATTATTTATTTTAAAACTGCTTTCTTCAAAGGACATCAGTTTTTATTTTGACAGATTATTTCTGTTAATGGTATCAATTAGCCAGCATCTGACCAACTGTTCCGTTAAAGATGCAGACTGGCTGGATTTAAGTAAAAGCATAAAGCCAATTTCATAATTTCCAGGCAAACAACCAAGACAGCCCCCAGAAACAGCAAAGCACAGTTCAGTTGGTGATGATGCCACTCAACTTTGCCTTTTTCTTCGTGTATCTGCTTACTAAAGCAGACAGAAAATCCAAAGCCTTCTGCCAGTGTAGAGACTCGGGGAGGCTGACTCTCTGGGTAGGCAAAAGCTGGCTTCCATCTTCCTGTCCACCTTGGGAGACCAGAGTTACCAAAATCACTAGGCAATCAATACCTGATTGTCTCAACTGCCTTGGAGACAACTCTAGAAAGGAGGCCAGGGCAGGTACCGAGGAGGGGTAAAGCCGTATCTAAAGCCAACTCTAAAAGACAAAAAAAAGAGTGGAGAACAGCAGAGCTTCTCATCTTAAGGCAAAGGCTATTTTCTGAGTACTAACCCCTGAGCTTTCAGCAAGTCTTAGCATCACTGAGGGTTCACGACCAAACTGACCATACAGTAACCTCCAGAGAAGGGTCTGGACAGCTCCTCTCTGCAGGGCAGCTCTCCAGCTTACTACTTTACAGACTCCTTTTTACCTTGTCTTCTGCTAGTTTTGCTTCCATCTCTATGGAAACTGGAGTGGGGATCAGGAGCCAGCCTTGAAAATGATCGTCAGAAGCCATCTCCTAATTCTATTTCCATGGAAACAGATGACAGATCCGTGGAAATAAGGTAATATTTTTGAACAAGGTAATCCTTTTTAAAAAATTATCCTTACCTCATTTTGTACCGATTTCACAGAGCTGGAATTCAAGAGTGTACATTGCTCATGAACAACAAAGGCAGCAACATTCACTTGAGGTTAAAGATAAATATAGGGGACAAAGAAGTAGGAATCCAACCACACAGAAACCAGTGAAATTAAGAAAACGTCGCCTCAGCAGCAATCAGAAGAGCGTGAAGTAGAGCACTCCGCACCCATCACACAGCATTTGTTTCAGGCCCTTGATCAACTTTTGAAACAGCATCATCACCATATATGATGGTTTTCACTAAAGAAGACGTTTCCTAAAAATGAAACTCGTAAGGAAGCTTCATAACAGCAGGATACAAGTGTGGGGGCAGGATACTTCACCAAAGCCAACAGTCTTCCCAAGTGAACTACTCCATTAAAAAAGCCCGAGGAGTTGGCTTTTTGAGAGGATAAAACCCCTCCTGGATGGGGAGCAACCTAGTCCTGAAATGTGACTGTTCCACCTACCACTTCTGTTACTAGGAGTGAAACTGAGGAAACTGAAGACGTCCTGCCAAATTTTTCTTGTAAAATAACGTCGGTCCAAGACCCAAAATAACGAGCCACAGATAAAAAACCCTGAATTTGAAGGCTGAAATTGTAACGAGTCACAGCATTTTAGGTCAAAAATAGCTTGAGCTCATGAAAACTGGCATAGTTAGATAGATGGTATTTATGCTTAAGGAGCTGGGAGAGGTGGAGTTTGTAGGGAGAGACTCATGCTGTGGAGCAGATACAATGGATTTACCCACCTTTTCCTTGGCATCATGTTAACAGCTACCATTTATGGCGGACTCACTCTTTGGAAGGCATAAGCTCAACATTTCACACGCATTTGACACAGCTGCCTCCCAGTAACCTACTATCATCTGCAAGTTGCAGAGAAGGAGCCTGAGATTCTGGGCCACCCAGCCAGGATGTCTGGGGCTATACTGGAAACCCTGGCCCTTCTAACTTTTGACTCCAGCTCCCTAATCCCACACTGGACTGCCTGAAATAATCACCACCAACACCTCCAGAGCACTCCCCCAACCTCAACCAAAGGAGAAAGCAACACTTTCTGGCGGCAGGTTAGGCAAAGTTCATGTACTGCTAAAAGGCAAGGTTTAAAAAAAAAAAATCAACAAAGGAAGACTATAAATTACCTGGTAATGAATAAATACCAGGTAGTTTTAAAACTGGATATAAATATGCCAAAAGAAAATGTTTTTGTATTGCTAACAGTGAGATGACAATGACATCAAAAAGCTACACAAGCTAATGACACCACAATATACAGACTCGTGCGGGAAACAGATTTTAAGGCTAAATCAGAACAACTCAGGTGTGCATACCATTTGTTTCCAGCATCAGCTTTAGTAGGAGCACACGTGAATTAAAACATTATAAAATGCACAAATTGGCCACCATCATTATCCCTTCAAAAGAAATCAGAAAATAAGATAACAGCAAGGAATTGCTGCCACACAAAAAGAAAAGCTTCAAGGATGTGAAAAGAAACACATCGAAGGCAGAATGAGTCAGGGCATTCATGGCTGTGGTCCAGGAGAACCGTTTGTTCCTTAAACACATAAAAGGGAAATTTGAAACTAAGCAAACCATTTGGAAAAACAGAATCCTGGAGCAAGGCAAGAAGAAAAGCCAATAATCTGGCTGGATGTTCACACTTAGGACAAATGAACTCCACAGCCATTGTAACACCATAGAACACGAAAAAGTGTGTTGGGGTTCAGAAACGCACACCCCAAAATACCGTGCTTTGTGCAAGCTGAACTGAAAAGGACCCCCAAAGCTAGGCAATGCACAGCATTCTCTGAAGTTCCTTATCGGCCTAAAGTCTGGATATACCAAAGAAGAAAACAACTCCCTCCAGTTCCTTCCTTGAGTTTTCATTAACTGAACCCATATCTCAGGAAGGAAAACTACAGTCTGCCAACATACCTGGACAGACTTCTATATCAAACAATGGTCCACTCTTTGGGCCCAAAAGACTTTGTTCCAGACATTGTGCGCTCTTCAAGCCCACTGACTTCTCCCTAGTAATCATTTACTGCACCACAACAAATTTCCTCTTCTTCCCCTCCAATGACCTGTTTTGCCAAGCCTCTATCTTTTCTGTAACCTCAAGATGGTATATCAGCTTCTGCGCCCCACTGTGGGCTGGGTCTTCATTCCGAGGGCTCCTGTATAACAAAAAACAATGATGAAATAAATGTGTATGCACTTTCTCCAATTAATCTGCCTCTTTTTCTTTTTTTTTTTTTTTTTTGAGACAGAGTCTCACTCTGTCACCCAGGCTGGAGTGCAGTGGCACGATCTCGGCTCACTGCAAGCTCCGCCTCCTGGTTCCACCATTCTGCCTCAGCACCCAAGTAGCTGGACTACAGGTGCCCGCCACTACGTCCCGCTAATTTTTTTATTTATTTTTTTTTATTTTTAGTAGAGACAGGTTTCACCGTGGTTAGCCAGGATGGTCCTCAACCTCCTGACCTCGTGATCCGCCTGTCTCTCAGTCTCCCCAAAGTGCTGGGATTACAGGCCGTGAGCCACTGCGCGCCCTTAATCTGCCTCTTGAGAGTTGATTTCTCACAGAACCTTCAGAGGCCAGAGGAAACATCCCCCGTGCCCCCTTCAAGTCCTTTGCTAATGCGTAACTATGAACACTTACACAACGGGGCCCTCTTTCACTTCAAAAGCATTTTAAAAGCAAGATGAAAACCAGCTACAATGTGTAATGACACAGTCAGGGCTACGGTGGCACTTGAAAATGGCAAGGAAAACTTAAGTCACTGAATTGTCTGAACTCTCAAGAGAGACTTTCAATGTCCTGGGAAGTCAGAGGATAGATACAAATCCAACTGTGCGGATGGAGCTGGGCATGCCTCACCTCAACACCAGCCCCAGACACAGCAGAAGCTCAACCAAAGTCCATAGCAGCAAATGAGGCAGAAACCAAGGGAACAGTACCTCGAAATCAATGCCTCCACCAACACTGCCACTACCAAATGTCCATCTCCTCCTTTCGAAAAACCTGAGATTTGCCTTCAAAATGTTCAAGTTCAGGCTGGGCGCGGTGGCTCACGCCTCTAATCCCAGCACTTTGGGAGGCCAAGGCATGAGGTCAGGAGATCAAGACCATCCTGGCTAACATGGTGAAACCCAATCTCCTACTAAAAATACAAAAAATTAGCCGGGCATGGTGGCGGGCGCCTGTAGTCCCAGCTACTTGGGAGGCTGAGACAGGAGAATGCGTGAACCCGGGAGGCGGAGCTTGCCGTGAGCGGAGATCGCGCCACTGCACTCCAGCCTGGGCGACAGAGCAAGACTCCGTCTCAAAAAAAAAAAAAGATAATTCAAGTTCATCATTCTACTTTTGTAATAACCCCAAACCAGGAAATCACCTCATCCACAACTAAGAAAGGTGGCAAGAAGATCCCAACCCACTTAAAACTCATCTCAGCAACTGTGGTTATCAGAATGGTTTGCCACACAATCGTTCGAAACTGCCTCCCCTCACCCAGCAAAGGCATCTTCTCTTTTTGCTTGTCATTGGGTAGGACTGAAGGGGGAGTCTGTGTGGGTGGCTGGCTTTTAACACAAATACTTGTGAAAATGGAAGTCCCAACAACTCGGCAGCACTTAGCACATCCTACAGCAGGGATCAGCAAACTATGGCCAAATTCCTCCATTGGGCCATAGTTTCCTACAATTGCCTGTTTTTGCACATGAAGTTGTACTGGAACACAGGAATGTCCCTGCCTTTATGTACTGTCTCTGGCTGCTGTTGTGCTACAAAGATACAGAGTTGCAAAGCCTAAACTATTTATCACCCATCTCTTTACAGAAAATGTTTACCGATACCTAACCTAGAGCAAGGACCAGCCCCAATTAGCTAGCATCAAATGCATTTGGACAGTTTGTTAAGCAATCAAATTCCAAAACCATCCCCCAGTGGGTCCAAAGAGAGGCCCAGGAATCTGCATTTTAACAAGTTCACAGGGGTTGACAAACCACGCTGACACGCTATAAGCTTAGGAGACATCTTTAAAATTTTAAATTAGGCAATTACCATTATATTAAAGGATGACTTCCTTTTGTAAAGTAAGTAAAGACTCAAAGCCTGACCTTCTTCAGCAATTTCTAAAGTAAAATTTTCTGGGGCTGGAAAGTGCAAAGGTCAAACAACACCTGTTCAGTCTTTTAGATGTACCTGTGCTTTGCAAAGATTAACCATTTCCACTGAAGTTTGCTCAGCCATGTTCTCTAATTATTAGCAAGGTGCTGTTCTCAGATGGGGTGACTGTTTCCGTTTCCATAACAACTTGCTTCTGCCTTTGGTGCAAAAAATGCACTTGCAGAAAGAGTGAGCAACCAGCCTGGTTCTGTGTGTGTCAGCCAGAAAAAAAGCAGCCTTGTGGGAACTCATAACCCTCTACAGCACATTAGCAACCTTCTGAAAAACCTTTTAAAATTGCATTATTATTAAATTTCTTGTGATGGGCTATTTTAATACTAATTGTTGCCCAAGTCATGGATAAGGCTAATAATACAAGGTAATAATGTGCACTTTAGGATAGAGAGTGATGTAATTTTTCCCCAAAGGACAAAGAGGGGAGGACCCAAAGATGTTCACAAGATGTTAAGCACAAAAAAGATTCCAAGATCAAATAAGTCAAAGAAATTCTGGTTAAACAAATTAAACAGTTTTCTCCACTCTGAGACTTCACAGAGCTTTTATATTGCTGATGTACTTCTTGCCTCTCCCAAGGAGGAGGAATGGGCTTCGTTTCAGGTCACAGAGCTGTTATTTTTACAAAAAGCCATAAATGTCCCCATCCCTTAGTGTGAACTGGTCCCAGTTCTTTTAGTGCCCAGGACTTTCAGTGTTAAAACTGGGACAGTTCTGGGCAAACCAGGATAGCTGGGCACCCCATCCTGCCCTCAGCACTCTCAGAGAGGCCCTTCTTGAAGCACCTGACATGTTTTGGATTTGGTTGAGTGTTGGTCTTCCTGGCTAGAGAGAAGGAAAGAAACTTGATTTATCTTTGTAATCCCAATACCTACTAAAATGTTCAGCATAGAAAATATGATCAACAGATGTACTTTGAATAAATGAATCAATAAAACAGAAAGCAAAGAGTTATTATAAACAATGTCCGCCCTGCGTTCTAGTCATTCAATACTAGTAGGTTGAATCATATGAAAGGGTCAGTTTTGTTAAGTCAAAAATGACCAAATATCAAGAGTTTCATGTTTCAATCTAATTCACATGCTTTTATTCTAGAACTAAGGTTTTACTCTACAAAATATGTTATATAGAATTAGTAGTCACCTTCTCCACGTACTTAGTGTTGGGTTCTAGGCCTGCACTTGCTCAGCTGGGTTTACATCATCCCCACCTACAAGTAGTGGGCCATTCAGGAAGTGAGACCACCTTTTAACGTACAACAAAGGGAGAGGGAGTCTTTAGATTTAGGGAGAGTCTACATTTCCAGAGGGGGGAAAAGCCCAAAATACTGTCATATCCAAGTAGCTTGCAGCAGTGCTGTGTGTAGCAACCAGGGTTTGCCAAAGACTACATGTCAAAGGCTCAACCGAAAACAAGTGCACAGGCCTAATATGAATAACACATTTTCTGCCAAATCAAATGAACACCTTTCAATGTGGATTTACATTGGCAGCCCATGGAGAGTAAACAGCATTGTTGGGTTTGGAAGGGGAGAATGGAGTGGTGAATGCCTGAAGGAGGCACTGGCAGGGCAGACCTGCAGGGCAAACATTACAAAGGACTGCTCGGCTGTGCAAAGGAGCGCTGGCAAGGAAAATGCTCGACAGCTCCATGGTCAGGCCATCCACGGAAATGAGAGCTTTCTCTTTGGCCATTTAGAGGAGATGGTCAGAGACTGGAAGAAAAGGAAGGAGAGAGTGAGACTTTCGTAGGCTCCAGGTGAGGAAAGAAGGATATCCAGAGACAGGAATGAATGTTGGAGAGGCAGACAGACAGAAGGACAGAAGATAGAGGAAAATGGCCAGAAGGAGCAGGCAGACAGACATGGGGAGAGACAGGGATCAAGGAATTCAGCCTCGAATAATCCAAAGTTCATTGGGAAGATATCCCATGGAAGTGGCATGCCATTTGAGCCACAGACCATGGTCCTGGAGAAGCAGACCTCTGGCTAGCTAAACATTCTGAACTGAGCCAGAACTCTGCGGCTCACACTCTGGCTGGTAGCTTGAATGGTTTAAGCCTTTAAGCTTTTTGTGAGTCCCACCTTACCTAATCATCTGTGCTTCTCAGTGTCAAGAGACATCTGAGTTGTTTTAATTAATCATCATTTTAGATTATAATTTTTTCCAATAGTGTTTGAGATAAAACATTTCATATTTGGAATCTGGGTGTTCGTAAACAAACTGCCCTTCCTCGGTGACAGTGATTTACTTAGGGCAGCATGACCTCCAATGGCTCTGAATGCATTCCAGAGTGAATCATACCACCACCAGAGGTCAGCCCTGCCACCCAAGAAAACTGCAACCACAAAGACTGCAGGGCCTGCCAGAATGTACCTGACAGCACTCGAGTATTCGGTTTAAGAATCATCAAAGCTCTTCCTTGGGCTCCTCTCACAGTAACCCATCAAGATCACTTTGGCACAGCAAAGTAACTGATGTCTCATAACAAAGCCTCAGTAAGCAACTTCCCTGATCATCTAGCTATTCCTAAAAAAAAAAAAAAAAAAAGTCATCATCTTTAAAATGTAAATAGAAGGCCCATGAAACTTCCGTGAAAGTACCTAAAATAGGGAATCTTCAAAGTTCCAGATGTGTAAGGTCCTTCAGGAACATTTGGTCCACATGCTTTCTCCTCCCCCAGTTAGACGGTCAGGCCCCTGTCTAGGCTCTCTCCATCAGTACATAAGGCCTCTGATGATTCAGTGTAAGGTTCACAAAAATTACTCCATCTGTCATTTTTTTTTTAGTTTAAAACATCTGACAAAGCCTAGTGAATGACTGGAATCTATTGACATGGCAAAATAATAAAATCTACTCATCTTTCCAGCTGAGTTCAAGTTTGATGAAAATTTGGTTTCTTAAACAGAATAGAAGCTTTAAAATGCACACTTGCCAGACTTCATATAAAAAGCTTTTACTGAACAAAATTGATTCCAATAGAAGAAGGGTTTACTCACTGATCTGCCCTTGGATGATATTGCTGAACTGAAAGGAAGAAGGAAGGAAGAAGG